GTTGCAGAAGACTTAGAAGGGGGCAGGGAATCTGTGGCTGGCAAAGGCAATGCAGTGACACAATGAGCTTTTGGTGGTGAGCCCGCAGGGTGGCAGAGCAGGAGAGGGTGGTGGGGAACTAGTATCTGAAGATGTTCACTTTGATAGCTTCATTATTAAGCATGAGAAAGGTGGAAGGGAGAGCCTAAGGTCCAGACAGGTAGGATAGTGCGCTATGGGAGATAGCTCTCCCAGCCTGACAAGCTGAGGTGTTGAGAGGGCAGAGGATTCAGACTCTGCAAAGACAAATGGAAATCAGTTATCAGCTAAAACAGCGGTTCTCAACCTGTGGGCCTTGTATCATATATCCTGCAAAGCAGATAATTATATGATGATTCATAACAGTAGCAAAATTCCAGCTAGGAAGTAGCAACAAAATAAGGAACTGTATCAAAGAGTCACAGCGTTAGGAAGGCTGAGAAGCACCGAGCTAAAGGATCTGCTTGGAGACTCAGAGGACCAACACCACTGAAAACACGTGAAGGGAGCGGCAAGAGGCGACGCCAACGGCCCTGTGAGCATGCCAGTCCTCTTGTTTCCTCCGTGTGGGCAGTCTCTTCTAAACCAGATTTTGAGCAATATGAGCAGGTGTCCAGCACCAGCCTGAAGGGTTAGGGCTGACTGCCTTTGAGCACAGGTGTGCGGACAGAACCCCAGAGCCAAACAGACCCCTCAGGGCAAAAGGTGACCTCTCTTTGTGCCCAGGTAGGAGTGGCCCCGACTGAGCCTCTTACCTACCCACTTCAGGAGACAGCAGCAAATGTACCCGAGTGCTAAGAATGTCACCTCCCTCCCCCAAGTTGGAGAGATGCAGGTACCTGGGAGCTGGCCTGGGTTGTTCAGCCACTTAGGAAGGGACAAGTGTAGATGGCTGGACACAGGCTTCTTTGGGTTCTGTTCTCTTGCAGCCTTTGTTCCTAGATTAGCCACAGTTTAGAGGGCAAACTTATCCTCACTGCCATCCCTGGCAACACTCCAAGCTGAATCCCAGGATGTCTCATTTTATAGCAAACTGGCACACTTGTCGTCTGAGGTTGGTAGGGTCTGCATAGAAGAGACCCTTTCTCGGGGCCTAGCTCAGAAAGGGATATCATCTGGCCTGAGGGCCTGTGGCCAAGGCGGGAGCCTTTCACACAGAGGTTCAGGGGTGCTATTCACTTTCTTTGCCCTGGCCTGGCTTTCTCATCGTGTACATTCCCTGGCTGCTGGCCACATGCCCCACCTGGATTCAGATGGGCACAGCAAACTGACAGCTGGGTAAAGTTGCTATGCTCTAGTCAAGGTGAAGGTCAGAGCTGGAGCTGCCAGAAGCGGGCCAGCCAGCTGTGGGTGTGCCCTTATTTTCCCTCCCACACCCCAGGCAATACAGAAGCTCATTCATCCAGACAGGGCAGGGCAGGGCATGGCCATGTGAATGTCACACTCTGTGCCTGCTGAAAGGGCAGAGCTTTCTTCCCTAACAGAGACTATATAGTCTGCAGTTAGGGCTTTGCTCTTCCTCTGAGTCCCGAGTCAAGAGTTGACCCTGGTCTGTGGTTAACTCCTTAGGAATGATGGCACTCTGGGTTCTGTTTGTTTGTGTTTTGTTTTCTGCGTTTGTTTGTTTGATAGGGTCTTGGGTATCCCAGACTGGTCCTGAGGACCAGTAGCTGAGGATGATGACTTTGATAAGCTCCTGAGTGCTAGCATGCCTGGCTTATACAGTGATTGAACCGGTGGTTCCATGCTTGCTAAGTAAACATATTTTACCTCAGATACACCTCTTGCCTGACATTCCCCTTTTGAGACAGGTCTTACTAGGCTGCCCAGGCTGGTCTAGAGTGCATGAGCTCAAATGGTCCTCCTGCTTCAGTCTCTGGCTTAGTTAGGGCTGTAGATGTAGACATGGCCTGTGGATGTCACTTTTCTAAATGTTAACCCATTTTGTGTAGGGAGGGGTGACCAAGCCTTTGGATGATGAGCTAGCAGAACATTGTTGCATGTGCACAGGCCTGGGAGGGGCCCAGATGCATGCCTGTGAGCAGTTAGGAGTAGTCTGTAAGGCTGGATCTGAGTTTCTCTCTTTGGGGGTCATGGGGGAATGAAAGGCCTGTCTGGGAGGAAGGCTGAGGCATGGCCTAGTGGAGACAGTCTGTCTTCTAAGATTCAGATGCTGGATTCAGAGCTGGCCCATCACACTCTCTAGGCTAAATGTTCCCCACCATGGCAGTTGTGGCTATGTATGCATGGCCCAGCATAGGCAGGCGTAACTCTGCTATGCTTTAATCATGGCAGCCACACAGACATTCTTTACATGTCAAAACTAAATCATGTCCCCATACACAATCACCTTCAGCCTCTTCAGTCAAACCTTCCAAGGTCTGGAAGGCTTCAGACATTTACCTAAGGGTGAACTCTCATTACAATATCCAAAGCCTTTCTGAAGGAATGCCAGTGAAAAGGTGGCTACTCACACCACACAGCAGGTGGGCAGAAAAAGAAACAAAATGCATAAAATGCTAATTGCCTTTGATACCACAAACTAGAGTGGCTTGCAAGTGAAGCAACTATCTTTTCATATGGAAACAGTTCAGGGTGGAGAGCAGTAGGGAAGAGGAAGGGAACTAACAGGAGGGGAGTGGATGAAAGGTGAAGGTCAGTTTGAGGATGTCATAATTAGACCCATTATTTGGACAGTGAATACACACGAAAGAAGACAATTGTGGTGGTTTGGAATTCTTTTCCCTTCATATTATAATCACTTCTGGGACTTGTGTACTTTCCAGATGCCACTGTGGCCATGGCAGCTGTGTCTGTTGCAAAAGGCTCCTAACAGCCAGAGGCTAGTGATGGAGACTTGGAGATGCTCACACATTACTCCCGGAGAGGCACCACAGGATGAGAAATGGCTGAGGCTTCGAGTTAAGAACATTTACAAGGGGCGTATGCTGCTTCCCAGCCTTTTCTCCAGGAACAGTCCTAACTTTGGGCAGATGCCTGGCTTTAGGCAAGAGCCTCATCCAAGAACATTGTGATCTCAATCCCCACTGGCTACATTCCAGGACCCTGACAGAGAACCTTCAAGGTCTCAGTAGGAGAATACCACAGAGCTCAACACCACGACCTTCCTCAGGTCACAGCCTGGCGATAGTTTTTAAAAGGACAGGAACTGGGCCTCAGGTCACTCTGGGCATCTGTGGGATGTGTCCCACCTTAGGTTTGGAACATTCTTCTCGTGACCTCCACCACATCTGTTAATGGGAATGGCTCCTAACTGAGGAGGCAGCAACAGTGAGACTTAGCACCTGCTGGCTGGTGCTTGCTCATGGGATGTAGACAGGGTCTCTGTTGTGTATAGTGCACTGGATGGTAGCACTGGGGGCTTCATGTGGCCTTGGGGCCCTCCTGGCCTGGGGCCTTTCTTGTTTGGAGCCAGGACAAGAACCCAACTGCACAAGTGAAGTGAGAGGAAAAAGACAGAGTAAGTATGTGGTACTTTTTCTCCAGTCTCTAAACTGTGCTTCTTATGAAATGTGACCTCTTCCAAATTCAAGTCTCACAGCATGATGGTGAGCTCCAGTGCCCCTGGATAACTTAGAGACTCACATCAAAACCCTGGCCCTCCCTGATTGCATCTCAGGCTCTACATCCCCTGGGCAGGCACACACTCATGATAGAGGGAGGCTGAGAGACAGCTGATCCTAACTCAGAGAAATGTTTCTAACTGAAATAAAATTAGAACATGGCTTTGTCTGTGTCCCATGATGATGCTACAGAAACGCACTAAAGCATTTTTCTCATCTCTTTTAATCAAATAAGTAAATCCAGAAAGGTCAAATTCTAAGGGACTCTCGATTATCAGGGGATATTATAAAAATAATCTGACTCGTGTGACTGAAGAATAGAGGTCACCAGGAGCTGCATGGAAGCAACACATCTGAACCCCAGGCAAATGCAAAGTGGCCCTGCCAGGGAATTCTCTGGGTGGGAGACCCACCAGAGGAATTCTTCTCTTCCAGTCGCTGGGTAAAGACATGTAGCCCTTTAAAGACAGGGAAGACAGCAGTCAAATACCAAGGCAATTCAGGGTATGGAGAGCAGAGAAGGGTTTGAAGCTTTAGTGTCTGGGAAATGTCGCTTCAAAATTCCATTTTAGAGGTTTGAAAACAAATCCGGGACTTAAAAAATTAGTTTTTCTTTCTGTGCCTGTTAGGGGACACAGATGAACACCTTAGTTATCCCAGTACTCAAGAGAACATTTGGGAGCTTCTTTCTCACCGAAGACACTGAAGGGCAGGCACAGAATTACACTTTATCACAGAACAAACTGGACAAGAGAACCTTTGGTCACTGGAGGATTTTTTATGCAGGAATCACTCTGTCCTCCACTGATCAAACTCTACCACAGCCTCCAGCCCCAGGGTTTGTACCCACTGAGATCCCACCTCTCAAAACAGTCCCCACAGAGTGCTCTCTCCAGACCACAGATGCTAATGAACTGTCCCTACACTCACTGACCCTTCTCAGGGGCATACAGAACAGTGGCAACCCTACTCTGAAAAGCCACACCCATGGGTGTTCTCTGCCCCTGTGGCCCTAGTTGAACTCCCCTGCCTGGCCCTCAGCTGCTCCCAGGCTAGCCATCTACAGTTGGAATGGGCATGCGCCCTGGATCAAGCTTGGGACACAATGAGGGACAGCGAGCAGAAACTGAGCACTGTTCCTCTGGAGGCCACTTAGGAGGTAGCAGGGAGGAAGGGAAAGTGACACCCACAGACAGTGCAGCCATGCCCTCTCTCTACTGCCTCAAGCAGCCTGTCTAAATGGAGGCTCACAGACTGGTTCCCTCCCCATCCTGTCCCAAGAGACACTCATGCTCCTTCTACTTGGTGGCCTGGGTGACCCAGGGCCCAGCTCTAGAGTTACACCTGCTTTTTACCAATGTTTAATATAATGGCTGATTTCACATAAGCATCATATACTTGATTAAAATGAATATATTATTCTAGGTTGATTTTTTTTTTCATTCAAATGTTTATGTTCCATCTACCTTGAACAATCAATTGAGAAAACAGGCACCCTGACCCTTCCGAAGAAGGGAGACTGTTGAAGCGGCACTGTACACATTGGGCAAGGGAGACAAACGGCTGTTAGGCAGAGCCCATCTTCACGGGGCTGCTTTTTTCAAGTCTCGAATCTGTTTAATCAGGTAGTTCTTCTCATCAGCAAACTGCTCATCATCTGTCCTTTCTTTCTGGAAGCTGCTCAGAAATTCAATGAGTTTCGGCTGATTTTTTAACAGAATCTCCACGATGGGCTGCGTTTTGTGAGGGCTGGCCACAAACACCTAAAACAGAAGAAACATTTGAGCAATGCCTTCCTGAAATGATTCATACACAAGTGACAGTAATATGACACACTAATCCTTGCTTGTTTGCTGCATCACCAGTCTTAGGGCAACTGCTTCCTCTGCAGGGACTCAGCAGCACAGACTCCCCTGAGAAGGCCATGGACCCTGCGGTCCTTAGGGCTCATGATGGAATTCTGCTACTCACAGTAACTACACCCCCAGAAGGCCAGAGACCCATGCAGGCCAGCAAAAGGGTCCCCAGATTTCCACCCAGCATGTCCAGAAGCATAAGGTGACAAGGATCAGGCCTTGGCCTAGTTACACAGTATCTTAGGCTCCTCCTCGTCCCCAGAACAGAAAGCAAATGAGAAACATCACTCAGGCAGGCCAATCATGGCTGTAAATGTCTACATTCAGAAGAAAGACAACTTCACATTTTAGGGAACTAGGAAAAGCAGTGAATCAGAGCAATAAACACAGGGACAGAGATGGAGGACAGAAACCACAGAGAATGACTAACCCCAGAAACTGGCTCTTGAGATGAACCACCTTGAGGAGCCTGTGGCTGGATTCTGAAAAGCTAAACTTAAAGTGAAACACAACTTTCCTGAAACAAAAGCTGTGAGGAGTGGTCCAATCCAGATAATGTACTAGTTCCTGGTCTCACTGTGTGGAGGCTGCAGTACCCACAGTTAGGGTGAGAGACAGGAGTCAGTAAGGCCAGTACTCTGTTCCTTCTCTGTTCCCCCGACTCCAGCCCATGGAAAGACACTTCCTACATTTAGGGTGGGTCATCCCAATTCAAGCAAACTAATCTCAGAGATGTGCCCAGAGCCTTGTCTCTTCACTTATTGTAGGGCCCTGCATGGACCCCCTAGGTACCTTGAGCAAGCCTGAACCTGTTGGCCAGAACTCCTTGCCCCAAAGCTGTTGTTGGTACTCTTCCTGTTTTGATAACACACACCTCCTGGGGAGGAGCTAAGCCTAAAAATCCTGTTATTTTCCACTGTGCTGTAAATCAGTATTTAAGCCCACTCCATCCCCTCAATAAACGGCATTTGGCATTCCAACATTGCCATTGAACGAATGGCCCACTGTCTTGTCTCTTTATTTCAATCTCCAGGCCTTCGCCTGATTTGTGGAATAGATCGTAGTGTGGGCGCTACAACTTATTTAGGTCCTGACAAGTGGACAAGGAATATTAACCACCACAGATAGCTAAGAAAAGAACGTTCAAATTTCTCAAGAAACAAAAAAATTCAGCAAATCAATTAAAAGAGATCAAGTCAGTAATTCAAACCCACAACAATGAAAAGCCTAGGCCAGCTGATTTTCACTGGTAAATTTCTACCTAACATTTAAAGGGGGGAAAAAAAAATAAATGCAGTTTCTCAAATTCTTCAGAGAAGGAGGAGTGTTCGTAGCCCATTTGACACAAAAGTCAGATAAAACAATTAGAGTGTTCTTACTGGGCAAGAGCCTTTGTGAATTAAAAGGCAATTAACAGGGTCATATAGAATGACCAAGTGGAACTTAGTTCCTCATAAGACAACGAAACACCAGATGTATTGTGTTCCCATACATATGTATTTATAGCCTAACTCTCGGCCCCCGAAGGTGCCATTTTCTATGGCAAGATAGACTTTACATATCTATCAGGCTAAGATAAGATAATACTGAGGTAAAGAACACCAATCTAATGACTGGTAGCAAGGAACTTCAGATAGGCATTCAGAGAGGAGTGGGTCACATGAAGACAGGGAATGAAGTGACGTATCTACAAATAAAAACTGCTGGCAATCACCAGGAGCTAGGGGAGAGGATGGAAAGATTCTCCTAAAAGTCTTCTAAAAGAACAGACTCTATTGGCACCTTGGCCTTGGATTTCTGGTCTGCAGAACTGGGAGAGAACATACTTCTGTCCCTTCAAGCCCTCTGTGGTACCTTGCCATGGCCCTATGGAGCTGATGTCACATTGAGTGAACACAGGAAAACCACATGGTCATTTTAATTATTTCAGAATTCAACAAGGTTCAATACTTTTCAGATAAAAAAACATTCCAGAATGAAGCTGGCCCCATCTCACACCCTACACAAAAATCATTAAAAATGAACCAAAATATAAGAGCTACTAAGACATTTGGAGAAAACTAGAGAGTACACATTCATGACCTTGCCCATCAGATGAACTTACTAACAGCTGATGCTTCTGTATAAAGGACACTGTTGGTGTGTGTGTGTGGGGGGATATCTGCAAGTCATAGATCTTTCCGATCTCACATTTACACTATATAAAGAACTCTTACAACTCAACAACAAGGCATAATCCAGAAGCAAAGGACTTGAGTACAGCTTTCTCCAAAGGAGAATAAAAGTGACCAGTTATCAACAGAAAAAAGAGACTTAGGGCAATGCAGGTCACATTGCAGTAGGATGTCGTTGCACACCACTGGTACAGGCACTGAAATGTAAAACAGAAAACGTGCTGAGCCAAGGAGACACTGCAAGCTGGAATGCACAAGGGTGTAGTTGCCCTGGAAAAGTCTGGCATCTATTTGCTCAGCTAAGTAGTGACTGACCATATGACTTAAAAATGCTGTCCCAGAACAGAGAAAAGGATTGTTCAAACAAACACTGGTACTCCAGTGTTCATAGCAGGAGTAGTCACCAACCCCAAGTGTTAACAGCCTGAGTACCCACCAACCAAATGACGACACAGAGTCTGTCATGGACATTACAAGGAACAATGTGCTGAACAAGACACACCATGGATTTGACTCCATTTATACAAACTTGTCAAAACGGACAGATCCATAGAGTGAAAAGCAGACTGATGGCTTCCAAGTGTAGAGGAGAGACTGCCTAGTTAGTGCACATGATTTCCTTCTGGGGTGCTGGAGCATTCTGATATAGCCCTTGGGGGTGACAACTCTAAACACGGATCCCTGCCTTTTAAAACAGTCAACATGTGAATTTTTACAGATTCAACTTTTGCCACAATAAACTAAAATTGTTACTAAAAAAAAAAAAAAAAAAAAAAAAAAAAAAGGTATTCCAGGGTTGTTTATCCTGCTACGCAAATGCCTGCTCTTGACAGAACATCCATGAGTATGGTAAAACTCACCAGCCATGCTCTTGGTTTTTCTGGTTTGACATTTGTTTATAGAGCTGCTAAAGTTCTAACTACAGATTGCCTGGTGTTTTGTGGTAACTACATAAATAACTCACAGAAGCACTGCTTAAAAGTGAAAGAGAGACTAGATACCTTGAGAAAATCGAGCTTCTTTTAGAAGCTGGTGGAGTTTGCAGGCAGGCATGCTAGATGAACTCGAGAGCCCACACCCTACACCAAAACCTAGCAAAAATGTTCAGTTGGTTTGCAGGCTTTAACAGCTTCCCTTAGTTTTCTGTTTATGGCTCTAGAGCCCTCTGTTTAGAAGGGAGTAGCTCACCAGACTCTCATGTGGTCACTGCTTGTCTTAGGCTTTATGGGGTGGGGTGGCAGGACCCCAAGTTGAAGTGTTGACTGAAGTGTACAGAATAGATATGTTGCTCCCTCCTTAAAAAAAAATGTGATTTTTCAAAGTACCTCTAAACAAATGTAAACACAGGAAAACTGCCTGTTGCTCTTAGAATTGTCTTAATTGCCTGCATCCCTCAGTTTACATAATAGGTCTCAGAAATATGAGTTTCCAAGCACAGAGTAAAAGACAGTAGCCACATTCAAACATTTCTAATTTGGGAAACAAAATATTTTGTTCTTCACTTAAAATGTAAATGCTTCTTCTTATGAATTAAACCTTGCATGCATCATCATCGATCTCATCCAAATTCTATTCACCAGGAAGGGTCTGAGCTGAGGAGGCCCAGGAGGGCTTGCCTCAGGACAAGCTTTGCTGTCCACCAGGACATTTGTACAACTCTATTCCATAGAAGTAAAAATAAAGTATTCTTAAACACACACATGCACGCAAACACACACACACTCAGTAACTGGTAATCTTAGACAGCTAGCTTGATTCTGTTACAGAAGGACTGGCCAAGCTCTACAAGGGAGGTGCCCTTGCATGGATGACTAGGCTCCTTCAACACCAAAGCAGGGATGGAGGTGGGAGAGGCCAGCAGGCTGGAAACTGGCTCCTCTTCAGATTCCCAGAGTGCAGGTGAGAACCCAGGGAAACGACAAGTGAAGAAGAAAGTAAAGCAGTTACAGGGCTGGAGTTCAGCTCAGTGGCAGGGAACTTGCAAGGCCCTGGGTTCCATCCCAGTACCACAATAAATAATACTAACTAGTCCTCTAACTCCTCCACTCAGACATAATCACCGTGAATGCCGCTTATGCAGCCTTCCATCTTAAAGAAAACCGACCTTACATTGTTCTACAGACTGGTCTGCATGCTCTTTCACTCAGTACTTTTGCTGTTGCTGTTGTTGTTTTTGTGGTGCCAAGGGTTGAACCCAGAGCCTCATACATATAGTCAAGCCCCTACCACTGAGCCACACACATGTCAGCCCTCTTTTACTTTTGGGGACTATGCTGGTCAGGCTGCTCCTAAAACCATCTATAGTCTAGGCAAGCCTTGAACTCATATCTTCTTGGCCAGCTGGAGGAGCAGCTGTTACAAGTCTTATAGGCCTTTAACACAGATTCTTTGTATATTAGGAGCGGGTCTCCACTTGGACAAGAGCCAAGGTGGACTGCCTAGGTACTGGCTAGATGGTTTATACCTGCTCTCATCATTAAAGGTCTGGGGCAGGGGCGGGGCAGGGTGGATGGTTGGGGGCTACTTGCTGTGCTCTCTAGGGGAGGCTTGGAGCCCTCATGCAGGAGGTGGCTACTGCTGGTGCCCCATGGAGGCAGATCATGCCTTTGGTTTAAAGTGCCTGCTCTTATGAATAGACAAGAGCAAGGAGAGAGAAGGGTATGGTGAAAACACTCCCCATCTGTGAAACAGCTTCAAAAGGAAAGAGCAGGTTAAAGGACCCAGAGAGCCTTTGGCTTTTCCTCTGGTGTCCTTCAGCATTCTTCATACTGTCCTTGATGTCTCTAAGAACTCACTCAGAGACAAAATACATTAATTTGACTTCTACAAATCAAGTCTTGCAGCTTTCTGATGACTTGTATGCATTCAGGATTTAAAATTTTTAGAACCAATCACATTGAGACATAACTCATATTATGTAGACTGCCCATTTAAAATACATATGTTCCGATGATTTCTAGTATGTACACAGAATTGTGTATCAACAGATTCAACTTTAAGATATTTTTATCACCCCAAAGAAGCCTTATAGCAGTCACATCTGCTGCCCCCCCCCACTGCCATCTACCTCCTATAGACAGACATATCAATGGCAGCATGCAACTCTGCACAGCGTTCCCATGATCTATTCATATGAGGCATCAGTTCCTCACATTCTTATTGACAAAACATTACTGAGTTTTGAGAAGGATTAAAGGATGCAATCCCTGCTTGTATGCATTTGGCACAGTCACCCTTGAACAGTAACTGCTTACAACATTAACTCTTTTCTTAAATGATCACCGATACCACACAGTTGCTTCCCCAAATACACAAGGTCACACTAAAGCCCCACAGCTAGGAGGAGATGAGGCTCAGTGGCAGAGTGCATGCTATTAAGTTTGTTCTTGATTCTCCCACAGAAACAACTTCCTCAGCCACAAAATGAGGGTCCTTGACTTGCCTAACTTTAGGAGGGTGAGGGGCATGGAGTTCTGCTAGAGAAAGCACTGAACAACACAGGGGGTGGAATGCTGACACTACCCTTGCCTGGGTACTCTGATACAATTTGGAGATTTCTGTGAAAATAATGTAGAAGATTATGTATCTATTCCAAAATTATACTGAAAACAACTTAAAAATTTCTAGAGCTTGGGGGGGTGTCTATTTAGGGTATAGAGTAATATCTAACCATACATGAGGTCCTGGGCTCAATGGTTATTTCTTATTCTGAATAGCATCATAGATACTAAATATAGGCCTTATTTTTCTTTTGTAAACACTTTTTGGGAAGTGCTGGGGACTTCAAGCAGTCAGGCTGTTTTGAGACAGACTCACTAGTTGCATAAGGCAACACTGAACACCTGGACTCAGATGACTGCCCTGTTTCAGACTTTGGAGGAGCTAGGACTGTTGGTATGTACCACCATATCCAAATACACATGTTGCCACATGTGTTACAATATGGAGTATTAGTAAATCACCATCAGTTCCCAAGTTCACTTAGTCCAGGAATGTCCTTGGAGCTGCTGTCAGCAGAGCAGGTGTTCTGCTAGGAAGTTGTCCTCAAGGAAGATAGGGATTCATGGCTGGTTCTTCAGCAGCTGGCCTATGGTCCACATTCCTTCCAAAGCAACTGGTAGGAAAGCAACTCCTGTTGAGGGGGCACTGTGCTACTTAACTTTTTGTTTGTTTGTTTTGTTTTCTGAGACAGGGTTTCTCTGTATTGCTTTGGAACCTGCCCTGTAACTAGCTCTGTGGACCAGGCTGGCCTCGAACTCACAGAAATCAGCCTGACTCTGCCTTCCCAGTGCTGGGATTAAAGGTGTGCACCACTAACGCCTGGTGCTACTTAACTTATTGCTCAACTGTCAGATTGGCTTTTGTACCTGGAGTTTTCATGCAAATGTCCACTTATAGTAACTGGGTCCCGAGTGCACCATGGTGTAGGCACAGTTGTTCCTGGCACTGGCTATGTTTGATTTCTAGTGGCTCTAGGGGTGAGCCCAAGCCCAGAGTAAACCCTTCCTATGGTTTGGTGGGAAATGGCAACATGGCCCATTCATTGTTACTGGGGAAGTCAGAAAGGGAAGGAATGGGGAGAGGTCAGCTAACAGCGTCTCAAGTGCTTTTCTGGGACATCATGGACACAAAGATACAGGCCTCAGAATCGAGTAACTTAGTTTTTAATTTAAGCAGTTCATTTTCAAATAAGAAAGCAGATGGACATGCCCATGCCTGCTGCTGGTGCAGAACCCAGACTGCTTCTCCTGACTTTCACCCCAGGATTTCCCATGCTGCAGCTGCACTGTCCAGGGCCATGGACTTCCTCAAATGCTGTAGCACAGGAGTCCCTGAATTCAGCCAGATAATGGGAGAGGCACTGCTAGCCTGCAAAACATTTCCAGCAGCATGCTCACAGATTCTGCATCTCTACAAGGGGCCCCTTGAGGGGAGGGCAGCTGTTCATAAAGAAATGAAAAAGTCTAGGGCTCTTGCTTTCCTAAGTAGCAAAACATTATTTTTGGGAAGTAAACAAGTCATACTTGAGTGTAAGAAAAAGCTGAAGTGCAGGGTAGGCCCAATTCATATGCACACAAGTAAACAGTGATCAACTATTTTTAAATGTTCCTACTCAGTCTGACGATTAGCAGAACCAAATTCGGATTGTGTGAGGGCAGAAGCAGCCTATTTCTACTTTGCCACACATTTAGTCTCTCTATAATCATGCATTTCTGCACAAAATTAGATGACACTGGACCTCATCTTGTATCGTATGACAGGTACACACTTGAAGGCATGAGTGGCATGGCACCCAGCTTTCTGCTGTCATTGCCCAGGAGGCTCCAAGGCAGGTGTGCCACTCTCTGATGCTGGCACCACACATTCATTCTTTCTTTCATTCTGTTTGTTGACTTTTCAGGAGACAGTTCTAACAGAGAGGACTGTAGGGAGTAAGATGTCACATGGCACCTCAGATACACAAACGCTGTACAACACCAGCCTGGCCTGCTTTTAACCAGAGTGCAACTGCTAGACACCTCCCTTGTCCCCAGTCCTTTCCTCTGTGACTCTCCTGAGGTGACCACCATCCCAAATACACACTGTAAGACCGTGACTGCGAATTCATGAATCCAGAGTCAAGTTTAAAGCAAAACAAAACACAGCTCATCAATCAATTCTGTTCAGGTGGAAATAAATGAAACTTGTAAGCTAGCATTTTAATTACCCTGGTGGCTTCTTGGAAAATATCTGGTAGCAGGAACACTAAGTTTTTAGTTTGTCAGAACTATAGCCTTAAAATTGCTGTTCTCCACTAAAAGATAAAAAACTCTGTCCCCTGAATATATACTTTAAGACCAAAATTGCTTTCATTGAGCTTTTTTCTTTCTTTTTTTTGGTTTTTCAAGACAGGGTTTCTCTGTGGCTATGGAGGCTGTCTTGGAACTAGCTCTTGTAGACCAGGCTGGTCTTGACCTCTCAGAGATCTGCCTGCCTCTGCCTCCCAAGTGCTGGGACTAAAGGCGTGTGCCACCACCGCCGGGCTGTTCATTGAACTTTTATGTCTATTCTAGACATCAACTATGAGAAAACTACCGGAAACTGGCAAAAGCTGGCCAGATGCATAGTGTGAACTGCAGCATACCTTACAGCAGTAAGAAATGGAATTAGTTATCCACAGCTCAGGGCTATGGATAAAAATACCCAATGATGAAGTAGGATGCCTACTATTCTGAAATTACACATAGCACAAATTTTCATTTATGTCACAGCATGATGTGGCAAAAACTGGGATATAAATTATTAGTATAATGTGAATACAGTTGAGGAAACCCACTCAGCTATTTCCATAGTGGTTAGGAGTATGGGATTACAAATAACTTTTACCTTGTATCTGTATATATTTAAGTCGATTACCTAAAATTTCTGGGAGGTGATTTTGTTACTCAGCAGAGAGAAATGTTAGAACAGAGACCCCCATTTCTAAAGAGGTAGCAAATGAGTCCTAGAGCCAGGTACAACCTCAGGACATTCCTTGGGGTCAGAGAGGAGACTGGAGAAAACAGAGGCCTTCCATTTAATCTAAAGGGGAAAATAAGCCTTTCTTTTCTTAAGATTATTTTTAGCTATGTGTAGGTATGTGTGTCTGCATATGGGCATGTGCATGTGACTGCAGGTGCCTTCAGAGACCAGAGGCCTCAAAACCCTGGAGTGGGAATTACAGATGATAGTCAGAAACCACATATGGATGCTGGAATCTGAACTTGGGTCCTCTGGAAGAGTAGCAAGTGCTCTTAATGTATGAGCCGCCTCTCCAGCCCTGAACTGCTAAGTATGGTGTCAGGGCCTCCACGAAGCATGGCCACACTGGGTTTCCCATCCTCTTGGCTTCTAGTGAATACTAAAGAGGCCTTTACCAGGTGGGTCACACATTGTTTATTTCCAATTGATTTTAAATTTGAAAACAACTGCTTATCTTACTGTATGGTAGTGGACTGCAGACCCTCTGAAGTTAGGACAGCTTGTTGCGGATGTCAAACTTCTTTAAATTTATAAATTTGTATGTAAAAGCCAGAGGCAGATTTGCCCAGCTGTAGCTAGCTAGCACTTGAGTAATGGTTTCCTGCAATTAGATTAGTGGGAGAATATAATCTAAATTTGCAAAACAAAAGGGTCATTTAACTTTCTCTAAAGTAAAGGAAAGGAAAAAGCATGAACCTTGCCATTTCAAAGTTGGAGAAAAACATACCAAGGTACCAGCTTTTTACCTTAAAGACATGGAAGGCTTCAAACTGGATGTTAGGGCTTTTGTCTCGAAGCAGGTTCATCATCAGTTTCAGGTTCTCTGGCTTGCTGATGTACTTGGTCATAATGGCAAAATTGTGGCGGTCCAGGATCAGCTCACCTAGCAGCTGCAAGACACAAAGCCAAAGCTATTATTTGACTCTTCAGATATATCTCACCAAAATGGAATCAAAACCCAGCACTGGTGTGAAGAGTTGTGAGGCTTCTTAAAGGACAATCATAAGCCAGGCATGGTAGTACCTGCTGTAACCCCAGCTACTCAGGAGGTTAAGGCAGGATGATCACCACTTGAACCCATGAGCTACAGACCAGTGAGCTCAGTGTGGCCCCATCTCATACAAACAAACAAACAAACAAATAGACAAAAGAAATAACTAACCAGTATTGTTGTTATTATGTTAAGCTTTCATTTGGTTTTGCTAAGGTTAATTATTGAAGCAGTTTTTCAGCCACTCACTGCTTAGTGTACTAAGCACATCTGTGTCCATCACTCTGCTTTCCAGCTACGTACTGCTCTAAGAACATTCAGGCAGAACACAAGTAGCAAAACGGACTGAATGAACACCCCGAATCTATATCAAATATACAGGAAGGTTTTTATTAATTACACTGTGTGTGTGTGTGTGTGTGTGTGTGTGTGTATGTGTTTGTGTGTGTGTGCCACAACAAACATGTAGGGCAGAGAACCAGTTGTCAATCAGTTTTCTTCTACAGTGTGAGTCACGGGAATTAAACTTGGGTCACCAGGCTTTGTGGCAGGTATCTGTACCTGCTGAGCCATCCTTTGGCTCAAAAGTTGTATAAAAAAGTAAACAGGGCTAGTGATACAACTGACAAGTAGAGTGCTTACCTAGCATGTGTGAGACCCTAGAATCTCTAACACAGCATTAAAAAAGGTATAATCAAGACATTTTATGGTGACAAATCGATGGTTCTCAAAAGGTAGTACTACTCTGAAGCAAAATGAAACTACTCAAAGTGAGAATAGTTGCAGTCTCTCTAGCAGTAGGTGAATGCACCACCGTCTCCACACCCCACCCTCTAGCAGCAGGAGCTCCCCACACCAGACAGTTAAGTAATGCACCTGCATAATTTACATGCAAGACACTCTTCTTTTTTTTTAATTAATTAAAATTTTTCATTTGTTTTACATCCCAATTGAAGTTCTTTCCTCCGCCCACTCCTTCTGCCCCCCCCCCTTTACAAATGGCCAGGCCTCCCATGGGTGCCAATAAAGCATGGCATATCAAGTTGAAGCAGGACTAAGCTTCTTTCTTTGTATTGAGGCTGGGCAAGGCAACCCAGCATTAGGAACAGGTTGCCAAGAGCCAGTCAAGCGTTAGGGTCAGGCCCCATTCCCACTGCCTGGAGTCCCAAAGTAGAGCAACCCACAACACCATCACACATAGGCAGAGGGCCTAGGCTGGTCCCATGCAGGCTCCCTGGACTGGGTTCATAGTCTGTGAACTCCCATGAGCAGCTCAATTGCTTCTGTAAATTTCCCTGTGATGACCTTGAACTCCCTGGCTTGTACAATCCTTTTCCCCTCTCCTCAAAAGGATTCCCTGGGCCCAGCCCAGTGCTTGGCTGTGGATCTCTGCATCTGTTTTCATCAGTTACTGGGTGAGGGCTCTCTGATGACAGATAACTGGGGCAGTTACCAATCTGATTACAGGAGATGGTCAGTTCAGGCTACCTATCCACTTTTGCCAGGAGTCTTAGCTGGGGTCATCCTTATAGATTTGTGAGTTTCCCTTGTACCAGGTTTCTACCTGAGCCAGAAATGCCCCCCTTCCATTAAGTCATCTCTTTCATTACTCTCCTCTCCATTCACCCCACAACCCCAGTTCCTCATGTATTCACATCCCCACCCCAATCTACCCAGGAGATCTCTTCCACTTCCCCTTCCCATGTCCCCTACATGGATGTTTCTCAGAAAATTGGGAATCAATCTACCTCAAGACCCAGCTATATCACTCTCGGGCATACCACAAGGACACTTGTTCAGCTGTGTTCATAGCAGCATTATTTGTAATGGCCGGAACCGGGAAATGACATAGATGCCCCTCAACTAAAGAATGGATAAAGAAAATGTGGTACACTTGAGTATTACTTAGATATTAAACATGATGACATCAGGAAATTTGAAGGCAAATTGGATAGAACTAGAAAAAAAAAAAAAATCATCCCGAGTGAGGTAACTCAGACCCAGAAAGACAAACATGGTATGGACCCACTCATAAGTGGATATTAGCTGTAAAGTCAGGCACAATCATGATGCAAACGACATCCTAAAATGCTCTTCTTATTTTCTGGCTTGTTCCTGAGATTCCTTCCTCCTCCCAACCCTAGAGCAGCACACTGCAATAGCTGGTTACAGAAATTCTGCTGGGAAGGAGAGCACAGCCCTAGCAGCTAGTCTTTCAGAGTAGAATTCTAGGTGTGAATGTATGTGCAGGTGTATAGAAGGGGTGCTTACATTCCTTATTCTGTCTATTCAACAGTAAGAACTACACACTACAAGAATCAGCCTTTGGCTGTCTTGCCTCTTCTCATATCAGTGAGGAACTGTGTGATTAAATCACTGTCCCTGCAACCTCCCCTTGCAGCAAATAAAGCTCCCAGGGCTGGGGAAGCTGCCTTTGTTCCTGGCTTCTCACTCCTGCAACCACTGCCCCTTTCCTAGGCACCACATTTGGGGAAGTCTGCAGGTTGCACAACTGGTTCCCTTCCTGCAAGCCATCACATCTCCATCAGCAGGTGCAGTTTTAACACCGATGTCTCCAGAATTTCTAGTCAACGCTGACCCACAATTCCATTTATTATACAGACCCGCTTGGATGTTGCTGGCTGATTAACTTCACACCTTTAAAAGCAATTGCTTTTCTTTTCTTTGTTGGTGACATAGAGGCCTGTCAGCTCGTGAAGTCTTCCTCAGCTCCCTTTCTCTTGTTCCTTTCCATAGCAAATTAATATTCAAGGTTTGCTGGTTTTCTGGTTTCCAGTGACTCTTGAACAGCCAGTTCCTCATCTTTACTACCAGCTTCTTATTCAAACACTCCTCCTTCCATAGGAATAATTCCAAAATCATGATTTCCCTCAGTTTTTATTAGTTCCACTCACTCTGCAAGTAAAATAATCTTCCCGAAAGCTGTATTTACTATTAATTCTACTTATAAAGCGAAAAAAATATGCCTCATTTCCATGGGTTTAGAGAAGACATCTCCTTCACTTCCTCACTCCCATGCAGCCTGCTATGTCTGCTTAGACTCCTTTTGAATTCTGAGCCATGCCATCGCTCCTCAGCCCCATAACTGTCACCTCTCCTCCCTCCCGCTGGGTTCCCCAGAGCTGCCTCTGGACTCCTATTTGTTTCTCTCCTCTGTGCCCTTCCCAGCTAACCCTGTGGTGTGGATTGCAGGGGCTGTCCTAGCAAGGGAGATCCCCTCTGTGTTCCTACTGTAGGAACACAGCTAATCACTCAGGTGGCTTCCAGAGTCTCTGGGTGCAGGTAGACTTTCCCTGGGGGAGAACTCTCAGCACCATCCCCTATTTCTCCCGGTTCACCTGAAATTCACCTGGTCACCCAGGGAGCTGTTTGTCTCAGCAAATTGTCTTTATCTGGATATTCAAACCTCTTTTATCTTCCCAAGAAGCTTGGCAGAGTTCTCATTCCAAGCTCCCCTGGAGAAGGGCACAAGAGTATTGCCTTCCCGAACTAATTTAGCTCAAAGGGCTCTTCAGCCTTCAAGATAAAGCACCCCTGACTGTACAGCCAGCAAGGGCTTTTCAGCTTTCAAAATATCTACCTTTCTACCCGACAAACACACAATAAAATAATGTTAACACAAGCATAAGTAACAAAGGGGATCTCTAACACCGTGGATTTTTTTGAGATAGTTTTTCAAGGATGACCTTGAAATTCTGATCTACTTCCCTAGTGCTAGGATGACAGGCATGTGTCATCACACCTGGATTATGTTGTTGTGGTGACTGAATCCAGAGTTTTCTGCATAGTAGGCGAGGACTCTACCAATTAAGCTATAAATGTTCCCCAACCTCCTACGTGGAGTTTCACTTAGTCATAGTGAAGAATGAAGTACATTGTTTGCTAGAAGAAAATGGATGCAACTGGAGATCTCCATACTAAGCAAAACAGTCGAATCAGAAAGACAAAATCACCTGTTTTCTCTCACTTATACAGACACATAAAATCACTTGTTTGCATATATACCATGAAGATGAAAGTCAACATTGGAAAACTGAGAATAGAGGAAGGAGAGAAAAATGAGTATGTTCAAAGTGTATGATATACCAGTATGTAAATATCTTTATGAAGCCCCCATACTACATACAATAAGTATAATGCAATAAATTTTTACATAAAAATTTATAGATTCTTCCGTAAGGGTTTGCTGAAGTTACATTTATGAGTTCAATTCAGAGTAAGTCATTCCAATTTTATCTTCTATTCATTCAAGCTTACAACTTTAGGCAGGTATGTGGTGCACACTTAAAAAATACGAGCTGTGGAAACATGAAGCAAGTTCAAGGCCAGCCTAAGCTTGATGAAGAAACTCTATCATGAAAAAACAAAGGGCTGGGAGTACAGCTAAGAGGAGGAGAATTTGTTCAGCATGTTCAAGGCTCTGTGATGTCCAGAATATTATTCTCTCTCTCTCCTCTCTCTCTCTCTCTCTCTCTCTCTCACACACACACACACACACACACACACACACACACACACACAATACTTAATACTAAATCATGTAATCATGTAGCTAGTGTAATTAAGAGGCTCTCTTCCAAATGTGTTGTTTTAATGAAATTGACCAGAGCCCCAAAAAATTCCATCTAGCTTTGTTTTAATTATAATCTTTCTTGCTAGTAATTAAATGTTGGGCTTCTGAAGAAGGTAAGTTCCTAAGCTCCAGCACATGAGGGAAAGGAATCTTTCTCTTAATTACTTTTTATTTGCACCAGGAATCTAAGCATCCCAAGACCAAGAAAGTCTAGGAAACTTTAGAACACGATTGACAAAAGGCAGCAGGTAGCAAATACTTTGGCACTTTAGTCACTTTATACTGTGTCCCTGTATCTAACTTCTTATTTCCTACAATTACAGAACATCACAGACAAAACCTTACAGGGTCCATACTGGAAATGTGGTTATAGGCATAGTAGTACCACATGTCTAATTCCAAAAAAAAAAAAAAAAAAAAAAAACCCAAAAAAACCCCCCCAAAAAAACCCAAAAACAAAACCCAAAAAACAAAACAAAAACAAAAACAAAACAAAAACAAAAAACAAACAAACAAACAAACAAAAAAAAAACCAAGCTTGCATCAGTAGAGCTCCCCAGAGCAACACTTTTCTTTCAGAGAAGGGAGCCAGTGATGACATGGGAAGCAGCTCAGCCACGGATGCAGCACCATTTCAGCAGCATCTTTGCTTTATAACCAGCACTCCAAAGCCAACTTGCCCTGAAGTACCATTTCATGGTTCTGCATTTTGACACATACTTTAATGTGCTCCTCCCAGCCCCATCTGAGCAATGCTCTACTTTACCATGTCTGTCAAAGTTGAGATTTCTGGTCTGGAAAGGAATTCGGACAAGAAAAGCAAGACTCAGTAGATTAATGGGGAACAGCAAACAATACTCTGGGGTACACAGGAGCATTTGCAAATAAGTAGGAACGGGTGAGTTGCAAGGTGTTTCTGAACCAGGTATAAAAGTCAGCTCCAGGCCTGAAGTGGACAACCTCTGAGCAGGGAAAGGGCACCAAGACAACAAAGACAGGGAACTTTTTGCCCTCTTCTGCTGTCCATCATTCAAGTGCTGGATGGGTAGCTTCTACTCCTAGTGAGGTGCAGATGTGCACCATTGGAGACAGTTCCATCCGCCTCCTAATTCCAGGTTTACTCAAAGAACTTCTGGGCAGGGATGTGGCTCAGTTGTGCTTCGTGACTGAGGCCCTTGGGTTCCATCCTCAGTACCATAAAAATAATCAAATAAATAAAAAAGCCAGTAGTTCTAACCACAAGGAAGGCTCTGTTCTAACCATATTAAAATATGGACAGGAAAAGAGGACAAGATGGGACAATGCCAGCTAGAGATGTGGGTGGGGAGACAATCTATCAGTCAGAAAGAGAGGGCAAGACAGGCCTGAAGGGAGAGCTTTTTCACTGGGCCTGAGGTCTCTGACGAGAAAAGTTTGGTTCAAGTTCTTGCCACTGCTGAAATAAATGGCTCAAGGATAAACTTTAAAGAGCAAGGATAAAGTGTAAAGACTCTCATCTTTCTTCCTTCAGTTTGGTTCAATCATTTAGGTGTCTTACAAGCTCTACTTTGGATCAGATCTGTCAGACTCACACTGAAGAGAGGGACTTGGAAATATCTAAGGCAGAAGTTTTCAACCTTCCTAATTAATGCAACCCTTTAATATAGTTCCTCATGTTGTGGTGACCCCTAACCATAAAATTATTTTCCCTGATACTTCGTAACTGTAGATCTGGTACTGTTATGAATCATAGTGTAAATATCTGACATGTGAACTCCATGAAAGGTCCATTCAACTCCCAATGGGGTTGTGATCCCCAGGTTGAGAGCCACTGCTCTAAGCCATTTCTCACATGCTAGTCTTAGGGCACTCTCATCTTTACTATTCCAGTGCTACCTCCCCTCCAGAGCCTCTCTCCTGTAAGCTCCTCTGGCTGTCCTTCCATCCCTTATATCAGTCTAAAGCTGTGACAGTGGGGTACATCTTAACTTTCTTGTTAATCAAATTTGCTCTGTGACAACTCTGTGCATTTGATACATTCTGATTACCTTTGTCCCCTACTCTGACCTTCCTCCTGTTAAGCCCCATTCATCCCCACAAGTCTTTTCCTACATTCAGGTCATTCTGTTTAACCAAGTGTGATCATAGGTTTGGAGCTAGCCAATGGGGCTGGATGGGTATATCAGTGGATACACAACAAACAGTTCTCCTCATCTCAGAATTTTCAGTAGTGACAGTTAAGCAGGGAGTTACAGCACATCTATGGACACAGTCCAGCATTTCTGAGGTCATTGCTCTGCCTAAGGTCAGCTTCCTGGCCTCAAGGTGAGGAGCTTTGGCACAGCCCAAAGTTTCTCTAAATGGATCACTTTGAAGTGGTTTCTGTGCAAGGGGAGCCTCAATAACAAGTGCTGACTGACTGACTGGCTGAAAACTGACCTGCCAGTTAAGTTAGAAGCTGGGACAGTGACAACATAAATACAGGGGAACACAGCACAACTAATACAAACCACAGCAAAAGAAGTGTAAAATAGACAAAGCAGACTTAGTTCACTGCCGTAATTTAAAGTTGCATCACACGTGGAGAACACATGCACTGTCCTGTGTGTAAGTCACCATCCTGCAGCATGTGTGAGTTGCTCAGCAGCTGGAAGGTGTACAAATTCCATAGGGGGGGACACAGCTAGCTAATAAGTGGGATCTGAAGGACAGAGGTGCAGCACTAGCTCACCCGGCATTGCTAAGCACTGCCCCACCTGTTCTTGGCCTGGCTGTCTCCGAGCAAGTTTTTCGGGAGCGGGGGCAGGCACTTAGGACCTGGGGCCATACTTGTTGGGCTCCTGAGCATTTATTTCAACTGGCATTTCATAGGGACACGGCTTCAGACAGCAAAAGCCTAATGGTCTTACACATACATACGCTATTCAGACTTACTTAACATTTCCACACTTAGGCCTCTGCTCAAAAGCTAACTGCTGGAGTGTCCTTGCTATTCCAGCTGCTATGACACACGTCTAGTCCCTCAGTCACGGCTTTTTTCTATCGTTCAATCGTCCCCTCACAGAAGTGTGATCCTATTTGTTAGCTAAGACTTTCTTTCTTAGTGGGAACATTGCAGTTTGTACTGGAATGTGCCCCTCAGTCGCTGACCTTTCCTTGTAGCATGAGAGCACCTGTGAGCCACACAATGATCACCTGCTCTCCACAGCAGAGCCCAGGGTCACAGTGCTGGCTTATTGCCACTGCATGTCTACAGAGCAGCAGGTAAATATTTGCTTAGTGAACATTCTGTTACCTCCCTCTGGCTGCTTTCCCTAACACTTCACCCAGCATTTGTAAGTAATTAGGAACCACCCCCCTTAGTGCGTGTGTGTGTGTGTGTGGGGGGGCACATGTGTATCATGGTACCATAGTAACTGTGTTGAGTTCAGCAGACAACCCTGGGGTTTGGTCCTAGCCTTCCATTTTGAAACAGAATCTCTCTTGCTTTTAGCCTCTGTTAATTGAAGTCCCATAGCATTTCAGTTGTTTTCCAAGTTAAAAATTTTATTAGAGTTTATCGTTTACTCAACTTAAAACCTTCAGGGGAACTTAGATGTTCATTTCGTATCTTACTTTGGCACTGTATTTTAAGTCCTAGATGCCCCACAAGCTTCTGTGATTTTTCCTAGCTGTCTTCTATCTCCCTGCAAGGGCATGCTAGGATTATAGACACACATGCCATTGCATTCTGCTTTTATATTAAAATATTTTTATTTAAATTTTTTGTGCATGCGTCTTTTGTCTGCATGTATGTCCATACACTTGTGTTTCTGGTGTCCTTGAAGGGCAGAAGAGGGCATCAGACACTCTGAGGAATTACAGATGGTTGTGAGCTGCTATGTGATGTTGTGTTTGGACTTGAACTCAGATCCTCCTCTGAGCCATCTTTCTAGCATATGCTTCCTGCTTTTATACAGGTTCTGGATAGTACTTTATCTTCAGAGCCAGCTCCTCAGCCCTACACTGCTTTCTTTCCTAGCCAACTACATCTCCTTAACAGCTTTCTAGATTCTTTCCCAGTGAAGTCCTGTCAGGTTTTACTTTAGACAGTTTTTTTCCCCCCACAAAAGCATTTGTTAGTCCCCCTTACTGTGTGTTACTAGCATCACACTCAAGGCCTTGCGCATGCCAGTCAAGTGAGCTATACCCTAGCCCAGCTGATATTTAAAACACTACTCTTAGGAAATAACCATTTCTTCTGTTTCTCTGTTATGAATATAATTTGAGCATATCAAGTTCAATGACAACATTGGCTAACCAAAGTGCTTGGAGAATGGCACCTGACGATAAATGTGGTTGACAAATGCATTTTAGAAAAATGTTACAAACCTGGGAGAGAAATGCTTCTCCTAATATAGAGTTCCCATGACATTTCAATTCTATAAACCTAACAGTTTTTTCCATTAAAAAACATTAGGTTTATCATCTCCAGACTTAAAGCGTTGAGGGGAACTTAAACATCTGTGTTTTGTGTGTTGTACTTTGGAACTGCCACTTGTCATCTGAGTGTCCTGAACAGACAGGCAGGAGAGGCACTCAATTGGTTCATTGCTGTTCTAAGATACACTGACATGATTTCTAGGGACTTCACTGGGTCTTCATGACAGTCACCTCCATCCCAGTCACTCTGACCAGCTTCTTCTCACCTCTAAGAACATACCCAGGAGAGAACTATGTGGTTCTGCTTAAGTCAGTTAAGGCTTGGTTTTCTTCCTTAGTGAAAGATCCACATCTGCCTTTAGCATGTTGTTGTTTCCAGAAAGTATCCAAGATAGGACAGTTACATTATTTTACTACAAAGCTCAACCAGAGGATAAAACATAGCCCCAAGTTCCTTCTCAAACTGAAGGACCCTGAATTTTCAGTATTTCCTTATGTAGACACTTTGCTATCAAGATGTCAGCATATAAGGACTTAAGGAAATCTACCATTACCTTTAAAGATTGTCTCTTTGTCACGTAATTCTCTGACTGCAGCAGTTTCTCATAGTCTTCAAAAATCTAAGAAAAAAGGAAGTCTGTGAGAGTGGCAGTGTGTTCTCTGCAGCAGGAATGGGCTCACTCCTCCAGAAGGTCCCTCAGACCCAGCTTTATCACCGTTGCTGACAGGGAGGGCTCGGTAGCTCACTACTGTTCTGACACAGAAAGGAACAGCACAGGGGGCTGAGGGTAGACAGGACGCATGCTGCTCATTAGTTCTACAAACTAGAAACTGAGTTGAAAGATAGACTCACTTTGAATCCTCTCAATCTATTAAAAGCTTCAAGGTAACTCATTTTAAAGAAATCTGTTTCTGTAGTTTGGTGGTGGCTGGCCCACATTTTGGGAAAAGGGTTAACTACATTTAGGGTTTAGGGCTATCAAATTCATAATGTTAACAGGTGAGGATTGGGGTGACCACTGCTAGGCAGTGACCAAGTCACCCCTACTGGCCTGTGTGAACTTTAATCATTCTCACAAGACCGTGGGACATGGGTCTTCCTGCATCTCAATGTAGTCACTGGCCATGGGCTGGGCCCTTTGGCAGCACTGGGGAAGATTGTTAACTCGCTTCCCACCATTTGTGGGCACATCATTCAGAGAGTATTGCAGCTGGAGGAGCAAATAGCCAGAAGCAAAGACAAAACACAACAAAACAGGTACAGAGAAGGACCAGACAGCCTCAGGGACTCAGTGACAGGCTTATGTGCACACCCATCAAAACTTCTGTTTTAGAAATGAGAAGAACAAGTATGCAGCTCAGATTAAAGTCACATTATTCTCTTTCATAAGCCACTTTGTTCTACTGTTCAATGTAGGGGAAACATGACAGTTCAGATATGGAGGCTCTCCCTAAAAGCTCATGTATTGAATACCTGGTCCCCAGTTTGTGGTGCTACTGGGAAGAGATGAATAATAAGAGTGTTAGTTCATCAATAGACCAATCCCTTGATAAATTCACAATGGAATGGATTTTTAGGAGAGAGATAGGCCACGAGGGGTCATGATCTTTCTCTCTTTATATGTGTGTATGCAGTATACATGCATGCATGTTCACATGTTGACGGCTGTCTTTGATTGCTCTACAGTATATATTGAGACATGGCATTTTATTGAATCAATAAATGTCAGCTAGTTACTGATCTGCTTGTTCCAAGGGTCATCTGTTTCTGTTTCCTATGCACTGGGATTGCTGGGGCTCTGTTATGTCCATCTGACTTTTTTAAGTGGGTTCTAGTGACCCTAAACTCTAGTCCTCATGTTATACCTGCTTATTCATCTCCTCCATCCCCAGGGGCACACTTTTGAAGGGGGCAGTTTGTCTCTGGACTCTTCCCCTGACTTCTGCCTACTATAGAGTAAGTATCTTTTCTTTGTCACATGTTTTCCACTGTGATGCTCTGACCCACAACAGGTACAGTGACAGAGCCAAGTGACCATGGACTGAAACCATATTCCAAAATAATTCTTTCTTGTTCTAAGTTATTGCTCTTAGACATTTTGGCATAGCAACAAAAAGATGACCAACACATGACATTTTATAGATCAGTATATTCATCAGGTAAATTATGTTAATTCTGAACCTAAACTATAAATACAGTGGACCCAGAGTCCTCCTGGGTCTTTTCCATTGTCCCTTTCAGCCTTTCCTTGTAGCCCATCTCCATTCCTTTGTGACACCCACCAGCTGCAGAAATGTTTTCTACCATGGCCATCACATGTGGCTAGGACTCAGAGTGGGCAATAGCATCAAACAATGCAACACCCACCCAGAAAAGACAAGAACAGGTATCTATGCCAAACAAGTACCAGGCAATGGGCAATCTGAACCCGTGCCTCTAGCCTGGGCATCTAGAATTGCCTGTTTCTGGCTTTAAAGGACACAGGCTCTTTATTCTCAGGTTCTGAAACTACGAGCTTTGGAGGCTGTCGGCCCAGGCCCCAAGCCTTCTGCACTTCCCACCTTACACAGTTTCCATCTAAACAGAACATAAGGTCCCCAGCCTGTGAGTAACAAGAGGAAAAAGGAAAGAAGTCTTACAAATGATTCTACTTACAGTGTCATAATTTTGCTCTAAGAAGTCTGCTACCAACACTTTATGTCTGGTCAACAAATCCTAAAAAAGAACAAGCAGTGACAAGACATTATTATAGCTAGTGACCTTTATCATTAGAATAACCTTTGCTTCTATGGGTGAGTAAATGCATTCACTTCAAACGCACAGAAGCTGGAAAAGAACATTTTCATTTATGACATGAAATTATTTCCATCCCTACTTTAAGATGTGAAGTTTAAGTTTGTTTCAGGTTAAAACAATGGAAAAACACTGAGTGTCAAATCTAGTGTTTTAAATAGTAGAAATAAAATTTAAGTGGTAAACATTAACACCAACAAGGTAAATTTACAGAATATTTCTACATTGCGATTATAATAAACAACCAAAGTCTGGTGATCTTTATCGAAGGCCAGTAGCTAATCATCAGCTTCACACCTTCAACTCCTGAACTCAAATAGTCCTTCTGCCTCAGTCTAAATACAGGTATCACAGACACATACTATGACGCCCAATTGTAACTAATTTTTTCAGACACAAATTCTGAATGGTACAATACCTGATCTCAAAAACTAATATAAAACATTTTCAAACATTCCAATCTTTCATTGTTCTCCTAACCACTGTGTGTGTGTGTGTGTGTGTGTGTGTGTGTGTGTGTGTGTGTGATGAATAAGAGTGTGTTCAAGTGCACCTGCCCATGTACGGGTAGGGGTCAGAGAAGCCTGTTGAGTCCTACTCTGTCTCTGTATTCCTTTGAGACAGGGTCTCTCACTGAACCTGGTAGCCAACAAGCACCAATAATCCTTTTGTCTTTGCCCTCTCCAGCACTGGGGTTAACAGGTTGATGTGTGGCACACTCAGTTTTTATGTTCTTAAAACATCAGACTATCTCCCCAGCCCCCTGACTACTTCAATTCTTTATTTATTTTTAAACTTTATTATTATTGTTGTTGTTGTGTATGTATGGTTTGGGGAGAGGCATGTATGCCATAGGATTCATGTGGAGATCAGAGAACAACTCTTCATCCACCTGTAAGTGGGTTCTAAGGGTCAATCTCCGATCAGGCCTGTGTAGCGCCTCCTGTACCTGTTGAGCCATCTTTGCTCCCAGATCCCAAATGGAGGTTGCCGGACTCTAGAAGCCCAGGGATGACATTTAATATATCTTCTCATCACTGTCCGCTTGCTATCAGGTGAATGGGCCATGAGATACACAAGTTACTGTGTTACATAATGTGTCCTCTCAGACTCGAAGAGATTAATCTTACCTTACTACAAATACAAACTTGCAGAAGACTGCAAAAAACCATGAAGGAACTTCTGGTTGTCTTCAACTCACACCTAAACCGTGTCCCTATTTCACTTCAATGTTTGAAAAAAGAAAATAAGCTTCATCTAATCCCTTTTATATACTTAGAGGCTAAATACTCAACTTAGGTATTGTGAAAATTTAATTAAAAACAAGATTTCTTTTTAATCTTTCCAGAATAAAGTCCAATACTTTAATACAGTTAATTAAAATTCCCCCTACTCCTCCCACACACAGTAGGTGTGGGGCGAGTAGAGAGCATGTGAGTGGAGTTGTAGAAGCCAGAGGAGGATACGGGATCTCCTGGAGTTAGAGCTACAGGCTGCTGTGACAATTGTGCTTGCAACTAAACTCAGATTCTGAGACATCTCTTTATCCCCCTATTTCTATTTAAATAACAAGAAGTAAATGGTTTAAATCATTTTGCATACTTTTAAAAATTCATTTTTTTAGCTGTAAATATATTACTATAAACAGAGGTACTGTCCAATATCTAATGGTTTGTTATGCTTTGCATCATATCCCCACGGTGCTGAGGGTCACCCACAAACAGACCTTAGGTTAAATGTCCCCAAAAGGCCCAGGGCAGCACTGTTGCCTGAGTTATGCTGCTCAGACTCAGGCTGGTTTTGAACTCCTGGATTGCAGTGACCCTTGCAGCTGGGACTACAGGTTGCACACACAAGAGCTCAGCTGGAAGGAGCAAGGTCCTTGAAAGGAACAGCACTGTCATTCTCTTGCTTCTTGGTCTACACTGAAGTGTGCAGCAGTGATCCACCACCCCCTTCCTGCCATGAGATTTTGTCTCATCACAGGCCCAAAGTACCTGTCAGCTGACCATGTTCTGAAACTGTAAGTTAAATGAAATTTAGGTTGTACATCTCAAGTACTTTGTCATACAAACTGTGGGAAGGTAACACACAGTGCAGTCAGGTAATTTAGCATATGCATTTCCTAATATATTAACTTATTTGTGGTGATAACAAAAATATACTCTTAGAGATTTTCAAAACACAACAAAGTACTCTTAACAAGCATCAACATGTTCTATAATAAACCAACATTTATTTGTATGCCTAACTGAAACCTTGTATTCTCTGACCAACTCTTACCCCAAGACCATTTTGTTTCCTGGTTCTATGAGTTCAAAAATATCTTCAGATTCCACGTATAAATGATACTATGATTTGTCTTCCTGTTGTGTCTTATTTACTTAACATAATTCCTTGAAGTGCATCAATGCTGACAAAAATGGCAGGATTTCTTTCTTTTGACAGATAAATAGTACTCCACTGTAGGTGTACAACACATTTATTTTCTTTTCTTTTATGTCTGTGTGTATAATGTGCACATGGTGTGTGTGAGTACAATGCACTAATGGACGTCAAGGACAATTTGGGGGAGTTGTTTTTGTCTTCAACCTTTGTTTTGTGCAGTGTCCTCTCATTTTTCATTGAGTGGCACTCCAGGCTTCTGGGGGATCTCCTCCCTTAGCTCCCACCTCACTACAGAAGGGCTTCCATAACAAATGCATGCCATCACATGCTTTTCATGAGGCTTCTTTCTGGGGATGAAATTCAGGATGTCAGTCTTGCAGTGGGCCATCTCACCAGGCACTATCTCATTTGTTTATTCACTTGTCTGTCAGTGGACACTTAGGTTGATTCCTTTCCCTGTCTATTGTGAACAATCCTGCAGTAATTACCCTTCAACACACTTGTTTCATTTTCTGTGGCAATACCCATAAATAGGATTGTTAAGTCCTATGATCATCCCATTTCATATTTCTGAGGTTATCCCATACTGTTTTCCATAGTACTGCGCTAGTTTGAATTCATATAAATAATATGCAATGGTTTATTTTTCTCTACATCTTTGTCTCATGTAGCCAAGGCTAGCTTCAAACTCACTATGTAGTTGAGGCTGGTCTTGAACTCCTGATCCTCCTGTTTCTACCTTACAGCTACTGAGATGGCAGACCTGTGCAGCTCAGCAAGCTTTTGTCTTTCATATAATACCCCTTCTTGAAGATGAAAGGAGGCTCTTTGTAGTTTTACAACCTTCAAGCCTTGACTGGTCACTGTGCTGACTGATATGGTGACACTTCCTAGTGGAGCAGAGCACTGACAGACACTCTGGGACTGGGGTTTTCAAGTTAGAAAACACGCTAGCCTGGCTGGGGTCCTTTCCAACTAGTTCCTCTGTCAAGACATCCAGGAAACAGTAAGTTACTGCATTGGAGGCAATCTCTAAGCAGATATGTGATCTTCATCTGCAACTGTCCCTCCCCCTACCTGGCAGGATGCCCAAGCAGCTTGGGGAATTTTCTATGCTCAGTGAGAATAGAAGGTGGCATACCTTTATGGGTTGCAGCAAATACTGCAAACTGTGTACCTGCTGGGGCTTCTCTACCCGCTATACTAGTCAACCATGACTGTGAGGGTTGGCTTCCTCAGGACAGCCAGATAGCATTCAGCATATCACTGCTGTATGGGAAGGTTCTGCCAGATCTGTGTTCTCAGAGACAGAGAAATCAGGAGGGGTTCTGCTAGAAACAGAACCTTCACATCGAATAGCAAAATAAGTTGAAATTAACTTAGTGACAGGAAATATAGTTGGATGAAATAGCCCTGCACACATACAGTGGCACAGGTGGTGGATGATGTGTCTGTTGCTCCCTTACATACATCTATACTTGAGTGTGTATATGATACACACATCAACATACCATCAAACTCGTATATACAAGAACACGTGCTTCAACTGAGGGATTGTATCACATGTGCATGCCAGCTGTTCATTTATTATAGATCATAACAGGGGGTGGGGAGAAAGCAGAATAAGTACTAGGGTGGAAACAGTAGAAGTACACAAAGTAAAAGCAAGTGAAATTTTAAAGAATTTTAAATTAAAAAAAAAATACTTAGTGAATTCTTTCATCCTGTTTCCTAACCATTTGGTTTGATAGGGGAAAGTTCTTCACAGTATCAACATGAAGCTTTAAAAATTGTCTGCTACTGACAAATGGATCAAATACCTCAAAATACAGCCAGATTCACTAAATCTGATAGAGAAAGTGGGGAACAAATCATTTGCCTTGTACTCTAACCTGGGTGTCAAATAGATTTTTATTCCTCATATTTAAAAACAATATATGCTTACTTATTTATTTTATGTGTTGGTGTATGTACCCGAGCATAGTTGAGTAGAAGTCAGAAGATAACATATGGGTGTTAGTTCTTTCTTTTTAGTACATGGGTTTCATTCAGGATTGTCATTCTTGGTGGCAAGTACTCTTGGCTGCTGAACTATTCTGTCTGCCCATTTCTAAAACTTTTAGCTGCCTTGAAGGACAAAGGTTTTCCATTATTGAAAAATCTGAATATATAACTTTCATTGATGTCAGTTTCAAATGAATTAAATAATGGCAGAATTGTAACTATAAATGGATGGCTTTCTAAAATGAAATCTTGAAGGTGAATGACTTATTGGTCATTCATTTGCAAATTAGTTATACTATTTTTTGACATGCTTTCTGAACTCCTGATGGTAAGACACATAGAAACAGAAAGTAGAATCATTGTTGGGGACTGGAAAGAGGAGAAAAGGGGAGGTTACGTGGGACAGAGTTTTAATAGTGCAAGATGAAAAAGCTCCTGGAGAAGGACTCTCAAAGACTTAGCCATATTAAATATGCATAAAAATGGTTATGAAGGAATGCACATTGTATCATGACTAAAACATTTTTAAATTAAAGAAACTAAGTTGTGTGAAATACACCTACAAAATGACAAAGGAGACGATATATGATAAAAATATAGATGATTATACTGTCAGACAATAAAACATAAAACATATAGTTTTCTGATCATATCAAAATACTAATATGCTTATCAATATTTTGTTTACACCATGGAAGTGTGAAAGCTACACTGATATATGACTTGATGTCTTCATACTCCATGGTGTTGCTGTCCATCTCCTTCCCTCATCCAGGTCCACCCTGGAGGTAGCCTCTGTTTCTGGTTTCTACACAGCCTTCCAGAGCCGTCCTGCACTGTTAATGTGTGGCAGTGGGTTTTCACTGGACATGTCAGAAGCCATTCCACTGAACTTGTGTTAAGTATTTTGAGTACGTTTCTGCAATGTGAAAGGCTGTCCTCACCTCATCCATGGCTGGCTACATGTAGGTCTAAGGAGTAGAATTGTCTCTTTGAAGGTCAAGCCACTTGAACTAAATAACCTATCTGACTTAGGAGAGATTTTTTTTTTCCTTTTTTTCTTTTTAAATTAATTATTTTATTTAATATTTTTTCTTATTTTAATATATCTATCCCAGTTTCCTCTCCCTCCCATCTCCCCATGTCTCCCACAGGTTCCCCCCCACCCCATCCCCCATCAACTCCCCAGGGAGGGTGTGGCCCTCCATGAGGGATCATTAAAATCTGTCAAGTTATTTGGGGTAGGGCCTAGGCCCTCCCCTGTGTGTCTAGGCTAAGGTAGTATTCCTCTATGGGGAATGGGCTCCCGAAGAAGTTCATTCGTGTACTAGGAATACATCTTGGTTCCATTATCAGCGGTCCTAGGGGACAGTTTTTACCTTAAAAGTAGCAAAGGCATCTGAAGCGATATCAAATGTCGACAACTCCACATACTTGAAGAAATCTCTGAACTGATTAGAAAAGAGGACGATTTTGGCAAGCGGTTCATGTCGAATACATTCTCTCAGCATAATCCCGCAGCGTAAGGCAATCTGTGGGGCTTCATATCTAAAGCACAAACAAGAGAGATAACAGAACAGTTATCCCACCAACAAAATCCATCAATGGCACCAGAGCCAGTTTAGTTCTGTTGATAACAGAAACACAGATGCCATTTGTCACAGTTCATTCAAACACCATTCATTCAACCCACTGACTGCTGTGTGCTGGGCACCATTCCAGATGTTGGGGACACAATAGCAAACAGGGAGGTCACTGTCATTGCAGCCCCAGCACTTTAGTGAGGGTGTGTTTGTTGGGAGGAAGAAGCAAAATAGAAACAATGTGAAGGTCATTTCCTATACTCTGAAGTGCTGTGAAAACTGAAGGCGGTACATTGAGCAATCTAGAGTTGACTACTCAGTGTGTGCCTGTGAGAGTATGTGCCAACAAGATTTAGAGATACTGGAGGTGGGGTTGATGAGTAATAAATCCAAGCTGAAGATTCAGGAATGACTCCTGTGCTTTTGGCTTAATTGGGTAGATGGTGGTACCATGCAAAAACTGATAGGAGTCAGTAAAGAGGTTAAGAAATTACCATTGACCGTCAACATTAGTTTGGAGATGCTAGTACCCAAGCAGTGAGGACCCCTTGACAGAAGAGTACCCATCTTGAGTTAAAGAACAAGACAGGAGAGAATCTTATAAGCAACAGATGAAGAGTAGAGGACTGCCCACTGACTGGCTCACTGGTACTCGAAAGAAACATGGTATCCACCGTAGAAACAGAGAAAGACTGGCACACAGGATCTGTTCCATTTCCAAATAACGTATCATTTGAATGTTAAATTCAGCATCTGAATAAACACAGGACTGAGCCACATTTCATCATGTGGTAGTATTTCAAGAAAAAGGGTAATAGCCCAAATAAGACAACTCCTGTACTGAATGACACAGTGGACACGTGTGTGCTAAGTGCAGGGAGACAGAGCAGAGGCAGCTGCAGTTGTAGAACATGGAGAAGCAAAGTCAAAACAAGAAGATTCTACCATGATTTTAAGCACATGGATCATTTTCCACTTCAATTAAATAACACGGAGATCTGTGGTTTCAGTACAAGGCCTACAGAAAAGATACCTCTACATGTCTCAGCTCTTGAAAAGGGACGCTTAGTGCAGTGTTCTCTGAGAACAGAATGGCGTGACACACACAAAGGAACTGGCTTACCTTTCAAATGTACCGTGAGTAAGATATGAAAAGGGATATACAGCTTATTGTCCTCCTAGCTCTTGATTTTGCCACGGATGGTTGGTTTTCATGGTGGATTAAGTACATAAATTATATTTGATACAGGAAATGTAAAATTCAAGGTAAAGCTTCACAACTTCCATTTTGAATGCCAATTCGAACTGTGTATGAGCTCAGCTGGTTTATTTTGGTGTGTGATTTTTTTAAAATTTAATTTCAAGTGTTTCTATAATAAAGTTTATTTTTAAAAACTTAAAAAGAATAGTACCAACATAAATTAATTTTGTGGCAGAAGATTGCATTTTTAATAAATAAAAAAATTATGTCTGAAAACCAAAACTAAATAACTCTTAAATAAAATTTTTAGAGGCTGGGGAGATGGTTCGTTGGTTAAAAGCACATACTGCACTTGTAGAGGGTCTGAGTTTGGGTCCCAGCTCCCTGTCAGATGACTCACAAACAGCAGGCAAGTCCAGCTCGAGGGGAAATACAACACCGCTGGCCTCCATAGGCACACTCATGTGCCTTTCCCATACACAGATGCATATATACACATAATGATAATTACAAATTAAAAAACACAACTTTAATATAATTTATGAACACTTACCAACTACAAATGATAACATTTTGTTAATAAAGAACAATGTTCTTTTTCATATGACTATTATTTGTATGAAATTCAGATACAAAAATAAAATTCCCTTTCCTACACTATAGGAAGTAGGCTACTTTACAATATTTAAATTGACAAAAAACATAGGGGAAATTGCAAAGATAGTTCAGGGTGGTACTGATTTATTTTCATTTATGCTAAATGATAACCACTATTCAGTACTATGTTAGTATTCCCTTAGTAGCTCAAATAGCATGGAATGCCAATATATTCAGATAGACATAATTCTCTTTAGAATGTAAGAAATGCTAATTTATATTAGCAATCTCTTATGAAAGGAATTTGGAAATCAGCCTACTGGAATTCACTGCTGTTAGATATAATACAGGATGCTATTAAAGATGTAAAGAGAGACATATTTTCTTTTTTTTAATTTAATTTATTATTTTACATGTGGATCCCAGTTCCCTCTCCCTCCGTCCATCCCTCTCTCACTTTTACCCTCTCTGCCCCTCTCTCCCTCCCTCCCCATTAGGTGTCTATGTCCCATTTACAGACCCCATTACTTTCCCCACCCACGCCATCAACTCTAGTGCGAAGCATGCTGTTTCAGTGTAGGCATATGATGAATCCAATGAACCTCAAACTCAAACTGAACCTACAAATACCAGAACTCTAATCAGAGTCAAACTCAGGCTTATACAAAGGCCGAATGATCTCCAGCCAACATCTCTCATTCCTGAATATAGTTTCCAAGCTGAGACCATCTATAAAAAGTTTCCACTCTAAGTTTTGGGTATAATTAGTTCTATTTTTCCTTTCATTTCAGGAGGTTTATTGGAACCATCTGTGATGCAATGATGATTTATGTTTGAGAACCAAGAGAACATTTATAAAGTACTCCACTGGGGAGAACACTCATCAATTCATCCCAGCAGTTTGTCCCCAACAGTGGAAAATGTCATTCTGTGACAGCACTTCTTAAAGTAAGTAAGGAACACAATAGGATGTTTGGGAATTTTCTGATTTTCCTCAGTGCCCTCTATGGGGTTTATAACTCACACTCATCATTTCAACTTGACAATTCTGGCTTTGTACGTTATTGCTTACTATATAAAGAAGTGTCCCATATGCTAAGCCTGCCTTAAGTTTCAAAATTAGTCTTTATCCTACCTAATCTGTTCTACTCCTAGATAAGCTTCCTGGTAACGGAGCCTGTGACTAATCATGCCACAACAGTTAGCCTAGGGCAGGTCACCAGTAAAAATCAGTCACTATTTTATAAAACTGAATCATATTTCCCTCCTGATTTATAGTTTAGAAAACACAGTCTGAACCCTACCGGTTGGGCCAGTATCCATGTTCATTAAAAAACAAACAAACAAACAAACAAAAATGGCAGCAGATCAGAAGATCCTTAAAGCAAAATATAGGAGAAATGTCTTCAAAGAAATCAACCTGGACTGACCAGGAAACTCCCTCCCTGCTGGCCAGTTTAGGCTGCACAGGAGGGTCCTCTGAATGCTGCTGTAGGAGAAAAGACACAAATGGTCTCACCCACCACTGCATCCTGTATGTTATAATAATAACCTGGCTGGCAAGACTGCCCATTTGTGCAACAGTGGAATGATGGTTACGGGGGTTACAAAACACTTTTTAAAAAATTAGGTTTGAGGTCTGTTCCATAGGAAAGGTTTCAATGACTGGTATTGTAAAACTGGTCAAAAGCCTATGGCTGGGGAGATCATAGGCTCTATGGGGGATGCTTACCATTGTTATTAAATGGTCATATTGTTAAACTGCCTTCTAAGTAGTTGTTTATGCTCATAGATTTGTGTTGTTCTCAACTTTTCTTAGAGAAGTTGTTTTTTGCAGTGCACAGCAGTGAATGCAGAATCTTATAACTGGTCAAGATAATAAGTACAAGAAAACATAAGTGTTCATCTGTGGCTGAATAATCTATATTAACTCAACTTCCATCCAAGTTGCAGAGAACACAGTAAAAGAGTGGCCAGAGAGATATGACAGATGAGGAGGAGAGCTATGAAGTACAGATTTCCAGACATAACAAGGCTGCGGCAAAAATCCATTCACCGGACCCATGGTTATCTGTATATGACCTTCATATGATCAAGCCAGTAAAAATTTTACTTGGAGGCCCCAGCATTGGCAAAGGAGTTAATAGCAATTCATTGTTACTGAAGGAATGAGAGTCACTCTCTTTTAGGGATTAACCACTAGTAGTTTGCCCATACTTCAGTGCATGGTTGCACACCTGTGTGCATGTAGACAGCATTAACAGGACTCAAGGTGCGATTTTTCACCCCATATCATAAGGACACTATTACCAAAAAGGCATTACTTGATATGATAAACTATTTTATATAAATTAAATATATAACATTTTACAGAATAAAAAGTGTCATTTAAATAAAAAGAATAAAAGAGCAAATGTTTCAACTGGTAATGAGTGCAGTGATCATTACACAGAAAGTAGCAGAAAAAAGATCTTGTGTAAGAACATCTCAAGAACAAAGACTGTATTATATGAAAGAAAATGACTTGTTGTTACTGTTGGAAACAAACAATGTCATGTGATAGCTGTTGGAAAACATCTCATAAGATGACATTTACTGAACATTTTACCTACTCAATAGTCAAGAAGGTTGGATCCTAATAGGGAAGCATTTGCATTATTTAAAAATAATGAGTTAACTGTGTCTACTGTGAAAGGTTAGGAATGGTAACAATTCAGTGTGAGAACCAAGAGTCCAGACTAATTTCCCCAAAAACTATTCCTCATCAAACAACCGGGGCCTAGATCTGCGTCTGGAGAAGTGAAGTTGGGTGTGGTAGATCTTCTTGCATCAGAAAGCAAAGAAGCTCTTTCAAAGTGTTTGGTGAGGTCAAACACTGTGTGCAGAAAAGGCCATAGTTAATTGAATTTTAAGAAAATTGTGCACAATACATGAGCTATGTGGGAATATTTCATCAGTTAGTGAATAAGATACAAGACAGGTATGCTTGGGTGTGAGAGAGGAAATGGAAACAGAGACAGATGCAGATAAAGAGAGAGGAATGAGAGGAAGAAGTCACTGACACCAGTGAAGTTTCTAGGACAATAATTTGTCCAAGCTGAAAATAAAAACAGGGATTTAGTCTGCCTCTCTGATATGAATTCTACTTGAAAATAACAGTCATAGTAGATGCACATTTTTTTTCTTTTTTTAGAAAACTAGCCAACAAAGGGCTGATTTTGAAAATTATCTTTCTGTGAACCCCTGATAAAATGACTAGAACAGACAAAGCTTATCACTGGTTGATAAAAAAGTTCACAGTAAGGATGACTGAAGGCTTTATAATTAATTAGATGCTACCGTCTCAGCCTAGGACTCAGTCTCAGCATCTCTAGAGGGATGTCTACTGGTTGATTACATGGAACTACCTGCAAAATACTACTGCCAAAAATAAAAGCTTAGTGTGAATCTAATTAAGTCTTTAAATAAAAACTCTAGCCTAGAAACAAGAAATAATGGAAAGATTTATCTTTACTATTATTCTAAAAACTCATTTAATATTACAGGGAGAGGCAATATATGAGCCATGCATAGAGGCCAAAGAACAACTTTCTTGAGTGGGTTCCAGGGTTTAGTGCCAGGCTTGAACAGCAAGCACTTTTACCTGCTGGCCATCCCCATGCCAGATCATATAACAATTTAAATTATTCTATGAAAAAGCAGTGTGACCACACCACAACAGAGGACATTGTGCAGGACAACTCACTTTTCAACAGACTCATAGCACAGAAATATGTGGATGGGGTGCTGAATGAGGGGGACTTCAAATTTTTTGACTAAGAAAAATCACAACCAAATGTAATAAGCAGACCTTGTTAGGGTATTTTCAATATGTGAAGTGTAGGGAAAAAACAATATAAGGAAAATTGATGTAGGCTGGGTACTGTTTGTTACAGAATTTTTATTAACCTTTAAATACACTGTGGTTAAATGAAATGATCTCACTTTTTGAGACACTTATTGAAGTGTTTAGGGATTTATTTTAAAATATCTCAATTTAAAAGGGTTGGGTGCTGCACAGGGGAGAGATGGCACACACTTAGCTAAATAGTGACAGCTGAGTGATAGGTACACGAGCTCTTGCATTTGTTACTTTTGTAGATGGTTGAAAAATTTTCCAATGAATTTAAAAGGGTAGATATGTGTGGTTTTAATATTATATAACGCATCTCATAGCTATGATGGAACCCTGAGAGAAGTTCAACGACCTCATCCTCAGCTGACATGGCATCTGTCTCAGCCAGGAGAAAAAGTAATTTAGAATGATACAATCCTTTAAAAAGTCCTTTTCATAAAATGTGGACTCTAAATTCAAGCATTGCATACAGATGATTCTTCTTGTTATACAAGTACCAAATTCTTTCCTTGTGGCTGAAGTTGTGTTCAGTATAGCATGCCACCACTGAGCCCCTCAATAATGCCACTGCTTGATGTACAAATGGACCATAGCCTCAGTTTTCAAGGACCTTCCCAAGAGATAATTTAGCAACAACAAAGGACCATATGAAGTGCTGCTTCCTACAATGGATGAGGTAGAGCTATTCCAGCCAGTATCTCTCCTTATCTGCCCTGTTCTCAGAAGCACCAACAATTAGTCACCCTCCCCCCTTAAGTCTGAACTGCCCTAGTGAGAATCCCTGGAAAGAAGCAGTATCTGCAAAACTAACTGACTCATGAGAACTGCAGTGATGTGGAGGGGCTTCTATTCTGCAGGTCCAAGCCTTATCTTGGGCTGGATTTAGCCCCTAATTAGTCATTTCCTTGGCTACCTCTGTGTCAGAACACCTGTGACTAGTACATTAAAAACCTTTTGGGATCTATTAACTTGATAGCCCACTAGCGTCCACCAACTCAAAGGTTAAGAATTATTTGTAACACAGAGATGAATGTATGATTTTTAAGGCTCAAGACAAGAACGGCTGTCATAGGGCAAAGGGACAGAGGGATGGAGAAGAAACAAAGAGCTTCTGTTTGTTGACACAGCTGATTTCAAAGTGTGTTACATATCACTTTCACACAATTAAACATTTATAAATTGAGGAAGGGAGGAATGTGACACAGGTGAAATAGACAGCCTGTGGCCCGCAGCATTGGGAACAAGAATACTATGCAGTAATATGAGCTGTGCTGGCTTGAGGTATGGAAGAGGAAGAGAAACGCAGTACAGGGGAGGACCATCACCTGCTGTTGCGTGCCTCACATCACCTAGAGCACCAATCTCCAGGATTCAGCGTAGCCTCAATATGCTCAACACACACGTGAATAGACTTAAACAGCAATAACCAGGGATTCTGTATTCTAGCCAGAGTTCAGGATTGCTTTATAGCTCTGTATAAACTTAGCAACATCTATGGTGACCCCACAGGGATAACTGATCTCCACCTTGACATGTTAGCTCCTGCAGCAATGCTTACCCCTACTGTTTGAGTTGGAGAACTAGAATGCATATGAGCGTGTGATGATGGGACGTAACATCATGCAAGCAGAAAAATAGTAACTGGGCAGTTAGGAACAGGGAAGATGAGGAAGCAAAGGGCATACAATAGAAAGAGACGTGGACAGCAAAAAGGCAGAGGCAAGAGGTAGGAAACAGAAACACTGAGGAGATGAGAGCACACAGGAAGGACTTCCTTTAGGCTTAAGCCATTTAGAGACAGATCTGGAGGGCTGCTCTTACATGGCAGACACTAAGCCTGCAGTTCCAAATGGGGCCAAAGAGGTACACTGCATACTTTTTAACAACTACTTCTAAGGAAGCAGGCACCTACCCTTTGAGGAGCATAGACAGGATGTGAGGGTGAGAACTGATGTACTCCACAGTAGGACTCCGTGCACCGATCTGTCTTCTCAGGATGTTGTTGAATATCTGGGTCACGTCTTTTTTTCCCTGTTAAAGAAACATGTCACCATTAAATGATATACTTTACATGGATAAACTGTATGGCATGTGAGATACAAACACACACGTTCATAGAGATAGTGTCATCCTATGTAAAATCCAGGACTAGTATTTTATTCTTTTCATTTATCTTCACAAAGTCCACGAAATGGGTGCAACTCTTCACCCAGTGTGAGCAGTAGGAAAGTTGGCAAACTGAAGTCCATTTGCACAACTGGGGACGCAAAGGCACAGATGGGTACAAAGCAGCAGAACTTAATTTTTTTATTCTTCTTCTTTTAGCCCTCTCAAGAAGAAAATAGTAACTGATATTTTTAAATCCTCATAAATGAGAGAAAACAGACCAGAAGTTAAGAATAAATAAAATGTGAGAGTCGGATTCTTTTTCTTAACATCTGACTCTGGGTAATATTATCCCTTCAGCTTATTTATTCTTTTTTCTTGAGGCCTTTAAGACTTTTTAAAAATGAAATGTAAAGTTTAAAATGCAAGTTTCCGCTATGTAATATGTAACTTGTATATGTATGCCTATGTGAATTACACATAGCCCAGAGGAGGAAAAGAGGCTTTTGGTCCTAATTGCCTGAGTTAGAGGAACTACTGCCAATCCTGGACAGGGCTTTTGAGTCTTCACACATCCTACAACCTGGGTTGAGTCTCATTCCATAAAAGAATCCATGAACTGAACCCATGTTTCACATACAAAAAGAGGGGGCAAGAACAACACTCCTGCTCTTTGTCTTTCATCTGACTACCAAAGGCTCTGACAGTTACTGTGTCCACCTTCAAAGCATCTTCACTCTGCAAAATCGACTCCCAAGAAGTGATACCAGTCTCTTCCCTTAAGTTACCTCAGTATCTCCCTTATGCTTAGAAAAGTCCAGTGCATTCCATTACATGCCTATTGCTTTGCATTCCTGTACCAGGTCCTATTGTTCCCAACTGACTATGTGATGTGTGCTCACTATCTTAAGTGTTTGCACAGCTCTGGCTCCTGTTCTTGTATCTTACATGCTATTCCACAGTCCATTCTTCAAGACTCAATTCAGGACAGTCCCCCTGAGATGAGTGTCAGGTTCTTGTGTCTGACATCCAAAGTTCATTTTTTTAAAGACTGAATTCAGTCTGAGATGAATGTCCTTACTACAGTTTAACAACACCCTTTGTGTACAATAACTGGTCCCTCCTCTACCTGACTACCTCTAACCTCCCCCTTCTGTCAGAGCTGCAATCCTTTTGTGAGTACTGAATCCGTACCAGGAACTTACGTCAACAGCTTAGAAAGCACTATTCAATTTTTACAGCAACCTTATGAGGGGCATACTATGAACAAGGAAACTGAGGGCATGGAATGTGGAACAGTTAGGATTCTATCCTCACTCAATGAAGTTCACGGCCTCAGTTCTTAGCCATCATCTTAAACTGATTCCCAATACATAAGATAGTGCATTGAAAGGAATGGGCTTTGTTTCTAACTTCCTCCTTGTATTGTTATCTCTAAAGGATAGAGGGCCCATTTGAATATGTATGTATGTATGTATGTATGTATGTATGTATGTATGTATGTGGCTAGAATATAGTATACACTCAATAAATACCTATAAGAGCGACAACAGGAAATGCTAGCAAAAATGAAGAATCTCACACTCTAATGGAAATGCAAAACAGTCAGGGAGATGGTTCAGTGGGTGAAAGACAAATGCACTTGCTGAGGACCTGAGTTTGATACTCCATATTCATGGTAGGAGTGTTGCAGGAAAATTGTTGCTATAGCCAATCCAACTTTAAATCAGAGGATGGTGTCAGTGATGGGCTGAGCTGGATTGGCCATAAAGTTCTTAGAGGATCTAGAGGCCCCACCCACCACCTCAGGAGAGGACAGGAAGTGAAGAGAAGGAGTTCTAGGGGAGTTTTTACTGCTGATGGTTCAGGAAAAATGTGGAGAGCGGAGTCAGCTAATCGCTCTGCTTCCCTTGGATTTTTCAGGTCTTTATCTCAGTTTCTGACTACGGAAGTTTTATTGTACTAGAACAAATTAGGCAATGGTTACATCTGGCAGCCTCATAGGAGAGAACAGACTCCTGACCTTCACAGGGGTGGCTCTGGCAGGTGTGCCATGCACACACACAAGAATAGCAATAGACATGAAGCTTTTAATAAGACATGCAAAACATTTCAGTATTTTCTTAAGAAACACAGAACTAGCTAGCTCATCATCAGGCAATCTAGGCATTCATGATGGAGAAAGAAGCACTGGCATTATGTGCCCATGATGCTCATGCGTTCTTGTAGTAGCCAGAACTGGAAACAGCCCAGAAGTTCTCCAGCAGTCAAATGGTTAAACAAACTGTAGTCATCTACACTAAAGACTAATTAGTCAGTAGCCAAAATAATATACAGCTTTATTTTAGAAACTTGGATAGATCTTGAGGAATTGTGCCCATTATGAAAAACCAGTTGGAGATGGGTCCATCTATATGAGGATTTCAAAATAATGTTCTAGAGTGGAGAACAGTCTAGTTTAGAATAGCTAGAAGTCAGGGATGTGGTGGTGATGGGCAGAGAAGTGGGTGTCACTAGAAGGTAGCATAGGGAGGGACATCTGTGGTGGTGGAAAAGATCCACATTATATGTTGTCAATGTTGACATCCTGGTTGTGTCACAGTTTTGCAGGACTTTACTCTTATGGAAAGTAGGTGAGGTCCATGGAGTTTCTTGGAACCATTCCTTACACCTGCCAGTAATCAACAACTATTTCAAGGCAAACAGGTAAGTTTTCAAAAGATACTTCTTTTTGTTGATAATTCTTGTTTTTAGGTAACAAAATTCAGCTCTGTTTTTATATAGACACAAAGAACTTTATTTTAGCTGTCATATAATAAAGAGCAGCAACTGCTGGGTATGGTAGCTTACAATTGTAATCCTAGCACTCAGGAGGCCGAGGAAGGAAGACTGTCAGAATTTCAAGGTTAGCCTGAGTTACATAGTGAGTTCCAGATCAGCTCGGGCTACACAGTGAGACACTGTCTCAAGAAACAAAACAACAAAATAATGGAATAAGAAAAAAGTTAGTCACAAACAGTGTTGTCTGTCAAGCCTGACAACCTGAGTTCAATCCAGGAAGGAGGGTAACATCTTCTGCAATTGTCCTCTGACACCTACACCCTTGCTCTGGCACACACACAAATACACACAATAAAAAAAATGTGGTCTAACTATTAGAAGTAAGAAATTTGAATATCAAAATATCAGCAACAATTAAATATCAGAAATAGTTATAGTTGTCCATTGCTGTCACTTTCTTGCAGAGAGAAATATTAAGAAATTAGGGTAGATGAGGAAAATGTAGGGCTGGCTGATTTAGGGAGCTGAGGAGATAAGGAAATATAAGCAATTTAATTTACCATGAAAACAAATTATTTCTTCCTTTAAAGTAAGTCACCATACCCAAATGTAAATTTTAATAAAAATGCAGGAAGTGAGTCTTGAGACCCTGTGGTGTACCCAGAGGAGGGTGCTTGCTAGGCATGCACCAGCTCTTTCCCAACCCCAGTATGGGAGGGGAGCACTTTCAGAATCAGCTGTTGTTACAATGCTAAAATCTTAAAAAATATTCACAGTACCTGAATTTTCTTTATGAGCAATGTAAGGCATATCTGTAACCATAAATGTAGTCTTAAATGAAAGAAATTCTATGGTATGCAAACCTTCCTAGTCTCTTCATGGCAATATTGTGGAATAAATACCAGCCCTGTTCGAAATGTCATAAGACTGTGTTTTTCATACCTCCCAGTAAAATGCCACAAGAACATTTCCACATGCATTCCAGTGAACAGCAGCAATGAAGCTACACAGAGCTCCATCCAACTTTCACACAGAGGAAAGCATTCTTCTAGTTATTAGCAAACGTGCAGAGGCAGAGGCAGCCCCTGTGAGTAACAGGAACAAGTTTTGCTGCCAAAGACCACTTCTCAAACCAGACAAGAGGGTCCAGATAAATAGAATTAGAGAAAATGGGAATGGTAGGGAGAGGTAGAAAATAGAAAACTATAAAAATGTTGTTGATTAGAAGGAATCTACATCCAAAAATGGACCAAAAACTAATGCAGCAATTTAGGATTGCATATTAACTATGGATTTTCAGCCTGAAAAACACTCATTAGCTGGCAAATCCACAAAAGGTTAGCAGTTATTTGCTTAATGAATTGATGAATGACATGTAAGGGAGTATGGACTGAAATCAAACAAGAAAGTGAGAAAAGGAGTAAAACGATCAGAAGTAACTGCAGATAAATAGAGAGACAAGAAATGAGAGCAGAGGGATAGAGAATACTTGCTTTAAAATTGTGAGTGCTGACGTATACATAAAATGTACATAAAGAATCCCTGGGCCAGCAGGACTTCAGGAGGCATCAACATTCCTGACTTTAAGCTCTACTACAGAGCTATAGTTCTGAAAACAGACAGGTAGACCAATAGAATCGAATTGAAAATCCTGATATTAACCATAACACCTAGGAACACCTGATTTTCCACAAAACAGATAAAATTATACAACGGGGTGAAGACAGTATCTTCAACAAATGGTGCTGGCACAATTGGATGAGGGTGTGTAGAAGACTGCAGATAGACCCATGTCTGTCACCATGCACAAAACTCAATTCCAAATGGATCAAAGACCTCAACATTAATCCAGCCACATTGAATCTCTTAGAAGGAGGAGGTACCCTTGAACAAATTGGTATAGGAGACCGCTTCCTGAACATTACTCCAGGAGCACAGACACTGAGAGAAACAATTAATAAATGGGACCTCTTCAAACTTAGAAGCTTCTGTAAGGCAAAGGACACAGTGGACAAGACCATACGGCAGCCCACAGACTGGGAAAAGATTTTCACCAATCCTATATCCGAAAATGGGCTGATCTCCAAAATATACAAAGAACTCAAGAAACTAGTCAACAAAACACCATAAAAAATGGGGTACAG